TTCACTTGACATTCACGATTTCCACAACTGATCCACCACTACAGTCTGGTTTCCCCAGTCTGGACAAAAACGGTAGCACAGTTATCGTGGTGAAATGCAGTTGCACGTGGGATCACGGTGCGCAAAACGTCTGTTTTCCCATTTGCGCCGGCATTTAGGGGATTGGCCTTACGTCTCAGTAGGCACATTTGTGTGATAATTTATAAGCCATTTCCTGAAACCTATGATCTACACACACACAGATGCCGGCTATCGCGGTCATTATTCAATCTATATAGTCAACGCAGTTTAATTTGTCTAGTGATGAGTAACTTGACCGGTGCACACAAATCAGTCGATCGTTTCAGCAAAGGTGAACCGATTATGACAACCGATTATGCTATACAAAATTGATTAAAAGTTTTATGGATTCATTTCTTCCGTGCCCCAATATTCATATACCAAATCTGAGAAGCTGTTATTTTTGCGAACATTGAACTCGTGTAGTAGTTAAGTGAATTATTGATCCAGTATTCATTTGTTTAAAATCAAATCAATAACAGGATGATAACGTTCACGAAAATCACGTGACGTTAGAAAATAGCACAGGCAAAAATTAAGCAGTGAGTTCAGCGTTAAAGCTGACGGTTTGAAAGCCATGTGTGACACCGGAAAATGTCACATAGTACACAATCCGGATGGGATGGAGTAGCGCTGTTTTGGGGGTAAAAGCAACGACAAATCCATCTCCCATGTGATTCACAAACGGAGTCCCGGTAGTCAGGTAGTCTCTCTCTCTCTATTCTCGGAAATCAAACAATGGAATAAGTGAATATTCGGGAAACATTGTGGCTTGTATCTTTTTGTCTATATTTATTCGTTTTTAAATCTGCTTTGTTCTTTCAAACGCATACTCACAAAATGGATCTTAAGCATGAGACGGTGAAAATATCCTTTTTTTATTCAAGTGATCTCCCTATTTTGAATAGAAAACCTAAGATATCACAATGTAACTGTTATGCCCTTTCGGGAGGACAATAGGTGATTTGAGATTTCTCCTTGGACTGACTATACGAAATTAACAGAGCTGTATAGAGTAGTAAGACAGCACCCAGTATCCAACCGATTTTATCTCCACACCAAGCTCCGTGACGCCAACGGAATTCGTCCATACCTGACTGTTTGTTGGACGGGCGCACTGGAAGACTTAACTCGATTTCACCGGGATTGTGACGTGTTCCACCCAGATTCCCATCATCAGCTAATGAGAGGCAGATTCACCAAAGCTGTTTCAACTGCCTGTACCCCGGTTTCACGCATTTACGACTCACGAATCTACCGGAGGTCAGTCGCAAAGCTTCCGATAGGAAACCCTACGTTTTTCGATTCCCATAGACAACCGAGTCGAAGTCCGACGCGTTTACTGAATCACAATGCCAATTAAGAATTATATTGTATTTGGATCACCTTGTCCATTCATGTACATATATGGTTTCACGTTTGGCTTTCACTGTGTGGGTGCAGTGAATCGCTGCTTTTCATTTTCAATAGAATTCTGCCCGATGATAGACAGCGAATTCGAGAGGTATATCAACACACATTATTTCTTTGAAACGAAACATGCATTTGCAGTAGCTTCATTTCATTGTTGCTTAGACCGATTGTAGCCGTGACCTATTGAGCTGAGCAAAAAAGTTATATATATGATGTATAATATATATATATATATATTCGACACAATAAACTTGTTTGCAATACCGCGTGATTTTTGGATAGACAGCTCTTTCAGAGGCAGTTCACTGAATAATCAATAATATGATTCGATGGTTTGATGGTGAGTTAGATGCTACCAACGACAACCAATGTGACGTGAGCATCTTTATGGAATATTTCATAATAAGTAGTATATGAATGACTAGACAAATACAAATATATATATGTATGAGTATATTTTTCTCCACCATAGCTTTGCTTTCCAAATTCAGGTTCGGAATTGAACTCTATCCAAGTGAGTAATGGAGGATTTGGCTCATTTTCAAATGGGAATTTGTCGTATATATTACAAATGAAGCGTGAACTGAAAAGCTAGGAAGCACTGGATAGCTGTTTCGATCTGTTTGGATCTCATCAGCAGTGCGAATTCATCGACCCAACTGGAGATCTATTCACTGGATTGACGTTCGGTGATAAAAAGAAGCGCAGAAGTCTAGACAAATAGAACACGAGTTCGGTACTCTGCATTCATTCTAGTTATGAACAATCCGGTTCAAAAGCCAGGCAACATGGGACAGAATGGAACGGGATATCGAGTCTTGCCACTGACTAGGCACCGTCAGACCAAAGAACAGTGTAGTTAAAAGAGGAAACCGACAAATCACCGTCAATCGGTCCATCTGCATGACTGATTATCGGAAGTGCTCCTTTGTGGGACAACGAATACCCCAGAGGAAATAGTGTGAAGCTGAACGGCTCAAACGAGAGTTCAAAGTGGAAGTGGAAAGGTCGTTATAAACAATTTCACACAAGAACAAATGTGGAATGAATGGTAATCAACTACATCAGAAGAGGGACACAGGTCTCAACTACAGACGTGAGACACGTGCTGGTACCAACATGTCATCAAAAGGCACCGCGCTGTCTATCGATCATGCTGACAGTTGTGAGAACATGGGTTACGTCATCCCCCGCTGTATATGAATAAAGTCGCAAATACTGACAGCAGCTGCGGGTGAACAGATTTCAACGTGTCAATTGGAGTGCGTCGAAGCTACTCCAAATTCACAGCTTTCAGCGTTAACATGTACTGGAATACAACACTGGTTAGTGCTGCAATAAATCCTCATTTGTGTGTCTATTTCTTCCGAATTACGTCCAACCTCAATTCATTTACTTTTCAAATCACCAATCCGTACCATGGAATGTGATGTCACTAGCTCAGATTCAGGCAGTCATCGTCACCAGATCCGTATTCTGTCCGTACCGGCTTCATCAATCTATTTAGCTTCTTTAGGGACACATTTTACGAACGGGACCGGATGTCATTCACCCCGCTATTGCCAAACGTCTCGCGGGGTTACTTCAGGAGCCTCCGACCAATAGCGAGATACCGGGAGATTAGAACAGAACAAAGGTAGTTGCTTTGCACAAATTCGGGTTTAAGCAGGAGGCCGAGGATTACAGATCAGTAAGTCTGACGTACGTCCAACGNGCAAATGCCTAGAAAGGATAGTACGTAAGCATGTGCTACTAACACCAGCTCCAGATGGCTTTTTTAAGCGTAAATCCTGATTATCAAATCTACTAGTCTTACTCAATGAAGTCACACGATGCTTAGACGAGGAGCAGCATATTGAAGTCTGCTATCTGAACTTTACTGATACCTTCGACTTCGTAAGTCATCAGGGGATAGACCAAAAGCTACAAATCCTGGGAATCGGAAGACAAATAAGAGAGTGGGTAAATTGCTTTCTAGACGACCGCAACGTCCAGGTCAAGGTTGGTACGCATTTATCGGTGCCGGAAATCATGACTAGCGGCATGCCTCAGGGCTCAGTGACAGGCCCACTAATGTTCCCAATGTGCATAGGGACTTGCTAGGAGAAATCAGCAACCCGTTCACGAATCACGTCAAGGTGGCGGGAACAAATGTATAGCAGAGTCTACAAGCTGTTATAAGTTGTTCCGAAAAGTGGGATCTTCCTCTGAAATAATCCAAATTCTAGCTTCTCACTGCAGGAGTTGAGCTCGGCAATCAGAATAGAATTGATTTCAACAGAGTCAGAGAAGTAAAGGACCTGAAAGTCATCATTACGTATAACTTCAAGTCTTTACAGCAGTGTCAGAGGGCAGTCAACATAGCTCGTACTGAACAGCTTCGGTTACAGTCCAGGATTATGTATAGGAGATCCGAGGTTTTTCTCCCTCTACATGAGGTCATATTTAGGCTACAGTTGTAGTATTTTGTTCAGGCATGGACACCCTACTTTCGGAAAGACATTGAATGCCCAGAAAAAGTGCAACGTCTGGCTACAAAGATGCTGGTGGGACAGAGAAGCAACAGTTGTGAACAGATGTTCAAGGAGCTTAATCTGTTGTTGTTGGTAAGAAGAAGAACCAGAGCGGAACCTCATAGAGGTTATAAAATGATAAACGTTCTCACTCGTCTCAATTTTGTTGATACGTTTCATTTACTCCATTCAGGTTGTATTACGGGACACAGCTCTTGTAAGGTTGGACATCCGAGCTAAGTGTTTTACAAGTCACGGAAAACCATATTGGAACAGCCTAACTGAGGAGGAGGTTGTAATTAGCTCAAATGTTCGAATCCACACAAAGGACTGAGATGGTTGTTGGGCTTTTGCATTCTCTGAAACAGTTTAAAGGTAATTGTCTATTCGTCACGAGTTCCGTTGCCTAAGACGTCATACTGCACCTCACCATCTGCTTTTCGGACGAAACATATTGACTCGCAGTGTTGGAAGCTGCTTAAGATCAACGGACAACACAACCGTTTGGACGCACGATTTACCCGGGTCACATCCTCCTGTGCCAGCTGGATCAGCTAGACCAAAAAGATAAGATATTTTCATGCCTCTTAAATCTGGAAAGATTATGCTAGGTATCCATGGTGGTCTCCTGCAACAAGGACAACTTTAGGGGAAAAAACGGAATCTGGGACAGTATAGGGATGTCATCACTCGGCTGGTATGGACGGATTACACACCCCAGATTAATTAGGCCCGTCAGTCTTATACGAGCAGACGAAAGGAAGTATGACATGAAGCTGGCTGCAAAAGTCAAGCGACAACCGAAAACGTTGCTATAGGTACGTCCAATCGAAGCTCAATCCGAAGGACAGCATAGATGCATTGATACTGGAAAAAACACTATTGCAACAGAAGACCAAAACAAGGTATTAGTACTAGATAACTATTTTACCAGCCTTCATAGGTCGCATAATAGAATCCAGACCATCGTCCTCTCTTCCACCGAGCAAAACAGACCTAAAAATATCTGTGGCAGATATTCCGAAGGAATTACGGGAGTTAGACATAAATAATGCACCGGGTCCAGATGGTATATCACCCGTCATCGTGAAACCACTTGCCAAAACCTCAGAGGCCCTTTCAATGATGTTTTTCCAAAAACCTCTCTAACAGGGTATTACTCCCGGTCGACTGGAAAACTGCCCGTGTGGTGGCTTTACACAAAGGCAGTAGTAGAACTAACCTATAACACTACAGCCCATTTAGCTGGACTAGTATTCTATGCAAGTGCATGTAAAAGCTAATCAGGGCTCATCTGTGTAACCGCCTGTTAGAGTATGCATTACTTAGTGACGCTCAGCACGGCTTTATCAGAAATAAGTCATGTCTAATTAACCTGTTATGCTAGCTAGATCAGGTCACAGAGATACTATATCTTTTGCAATTCAAGTTGTCCCAATATCATTTCAAGATATCCGGGAATCATTTCAAGATGTCTGTCTGTCTTGGCTACTTAATTGAATTGGATGACGAATTTCGAAATCCCATCTGGATTATTTCATTCACATTGATGGCGAATTATTTTTGAAGTTTACTAACAGATTGCTAGAGAATATTTGATTTGGTAATTCAAACATTTAATGAAAGTAAGCTGTATTGTATTTTTTGGGTGCACTGGAAGCTACAAAGCACGATTCTGAATAAGCAGAACTGGTGTTTCGAACAACGGAGAGTTATAAAGCTTACAATCAACCAACTCTGTCCACGGAATTTTATCCAATAGCAAATGCCCGAGAACCAATCTGGATCAAACAAAATCTTTGAGAAAAGATTAACTCTCGAAGATCCGAAAGCTGTTCAACTACCGGATGGTTAGTTCAAGTATATGCGTGGGTTTCTACCATGTCTTGCGGAAATATTGCACGGGACGTAAGGGGTCGCACTGGCATGGTGGTGCGGAATATCGACCTGTTATCCACTCGAGCCTCCTTCTGGCGTGCCGCCTACCACAAGCTCTCTTGACTGTGATTAAAAAGGTGACTGCTCCAAAAACAGCATTGGATAATCTTCGGAGTGGATAGATGTCTATCAAAGTACAGATGAGGTAATAAAACATTTATAGAAGCATTGGTACCGAGCAGGATCAGAGAAGAGTCCCACCCGGTCACTTCGAACACAAACTCGATAGTGTGTCATGTGATACACATCCTGAGGTGATGTACTGTCCAACGACATCCCCTTATTACGCTCCCCACTCGCTCTTCAAGTTTATTTCAAAATCAACAGTCTCTCGGTAAATGCTGATCGATGATTCAAGAAGAAATGATTCCATCGTATTGCATAAACAAACACCAACCGATAATAGAATGAATGGGACGAAAAACACGAGGCCCGTGGAAGAATTCACACATACTGTGAATTGACAGACGCTAAGTTTAGAAACCGCACAATTCATTCACCTTTGAATCACTCTGAAAATCCATCCTACTGGGTGTATAAAGCTTAACTTGACTTTTGCGGGACTTGAACAATTGAGGTCTGTTTTACCCGTTCAATCCCCGTCTGATCTGCTGGAAGAAGCATGCCCATCCCGAATGAAACCAGAGGCATGTCTATTTTCTTATTGCAAAACACTCGTAACCAGTCCATCAAGAAAATTTAAAAAAAGACGGAATTTTCCCGTTTGTTTATTGCCTTTTGTTGGCTGCAAACTTTATGTCACCAACGTGGCTGATAGGTTTGATGCACATATTCCATCTAGATTCACTTGTTTCAGGTTCTGTAGTTTGTTTACCTGTACTTCTTCACAAACTGAAGTATTTGTCCGATGGCGTTTTGTTTTGCTTTTCTGTTTAATAACTATTTTGTGTAACCTCCTACTGTGCTATAGAGGAATACTACAAACATGCTTCGATTCACGCATATGTTCATCGTGATATTTGCTACGGCGAGTAGCAGCCAGGATGGATTATCAGCAGGAGGTGATTGAGCGAATAAACTCGGCGTAAACAAGCACACATCCCCCTCGCCCGAGACACATCACTTCACAGCGGGAGCTTTCACATGTTCAACAAACAGCTATCTGGCGGCGGGGGCGGGTAGACGAAATCCGGCGAGAAGATAGCGAGTCTGCTGTGGATGGCGTCAATCTATCAGTGCAGTATTTTCGTGTGACCTTGACAAGTTCCTTGTTTTAAATTAGTTCACTTCCTGTTCGCTCTCGATAGAGGCCTACACTACGCTGACGGTGACATCATAATATTTTAATCATGAAACGGTAATCAAACCATAGAGTTCCGACTGATATTGTGAATAATATTCATTTGGAATGTATGTTCGAAGGCCAATCATTATTTTATTTTTCATTGATTCATACGGAGGCCTGTAGGGATCATTTAAGTGCTTGTTATTAGTAGAGGCACATTTGCAGGCTAGATCAAAAGGTCATTCAGATAAGGTAGCATGGATTTGAGGTGGTAGTGGTGGTGTGGGATGAGCTGTCCAGATTTCACTTCCAAGAAACCCTTCTATGATCTGTACAGAGAGAATTATGTATCACAGAAAACCAGTGTTCACCTTCCGTCTGGTTTCCTAATGATTCAATGTGTATATTCTGAAATTTAAGCAAACTGCAGAGAACAAAACATGTTTTCGATAACTTCAGCATCGGACTAATAGAGTAATGGTCTGATGTGATGGATATGACTGATAGATTGTGATCTTGGGATATGGGGTTTGGAAATGAAAGGGCAGTTTTCGTTGTTCTTGTTGTTCTTGTGTGGTTTGGGAATGGTCACTGTCGATGGATAGAGTGAGCTGTTCCATTTCCGGTCTGCACCCATGTGTCGTGACAAAGGTCACAGTCGTTTCGGTCACCTATGTCAGATTGGGACCAGGGTAGGCGAAGTGACTGGACGAACCACTTTTAAGAACAAAGGGATGGATTGAGTAGGCGAATAGCCACCGCTTCGGCTGCAGCAAGGCACCGTTGACGCACAACTTCAGATGGCTTTGTTGGTACTTTGTAGATCATCTGGAATGGGTCCTCGTTTGCTTGATGACCCGTGTCGGCAAGATGTTCTACCACTGCACTTGTAATCATTTTCCTCATCTCCGTACTCAGCCACATCGGATTGTGCTTCTTGATTCTTTGCGACAAATGCCTGATCAGTCTTCCTACATAACTTGCTGAACATGAGCAGAGAAANGCTGAACATGAGCAGAGAAAATGGTAAATGATCATAGATGAGGAGAGGATAGGCAAGGTGTCGTTAAGATTTAAGGAGACCATTCGTCGGCTTGTGAAACGTTGTTGAGTTTACGTTTTAATATTGATTTGTGCCTTTCGAACCGATGTATCGATCACATATACAATTGTGCAATTGTCTGGTCACGTGATATCCAAAGGGAAGCATTAAACTGAGACAGTAATCTATTATCACAACTCGAAAACAGAATTTCATTTCGCACGCGGAGCAAAGGGTAGGTAGACGGAAAACATGTGAACGGGAGCACAATTATTTCTCACATGTTTGTGGTTCGTTCGGAATACAATACAATCGAATCTACGGAGCTTCGAGTCAGGGAACGCCAGTGTGGAACACGAGAACAATAGCGGTACTACCTACATGCAAACAAACTTAGAACTGGTATATTTTTCTGTCGAAAACGCTCGTCCCCTGAGCACCCCGTTCGTCTTTTTCAAAATTGAATACAATGTTGATTGCACAGAGTTTTGTCACCAGAATTTGACAGCTAACAAGGAAAGGTGTGAGCGCAATCATTTTGAATGCGCTGCGACAAACGCGAAAACTAGTTTGCGTTGTCTTCAGTGTGATGGCCGGAGGGAGGGGAGGAACTTGTGGCAGCTTGACCAATAAATGAAAGATTGAATGTTTACACAAAGATGTTCAAAAATCACAGACGGATGTTTTCAGTCGTTAAATCAAAGAATAAACTACTGAAGGCGATTTTTTTTATTGAAATGAACTTTTTTTATTGTTCCTTCCGTTTGTAATTGGTGGTTAATTGTCATGCTATTTGCAATGCAAACATTGTGGTGATTATCGACAACGACAGGGGTTTTTCACCAATAGTGGACTCATCAATAGTCTGTCTACTGTTATGTACACTCGCAGACACAAAAGAGCTAATGCTGTTACCGCCCATCGGCACGCGAATGCAAACTACGCGAAATAGGAAGCCGTTAATTATTCCACCCAAACAGGTTGTCTTGTTTTGATGAAGTGCAGATAATGTGTTAAATAACTGTTCAACGTTTATTCACTATGTAGAATTTTGACGAATGCACTATGCAACAAGGTCGTCTTAAAATCGGCGATGTTACTCATTACACAACACATTGTTTTATGGCTACGTGCGATCGTGCACCGTGCTCACACTTCGAATGTTGTGACATGTGTTGACCGCGTGAAACAAGTCAAGGTCAGATAAATGCTTGTCCACAACTTCGTGTATTGATTTTCTCGATCGGAATATAGAAATGTTCAGGTTCCCGCTCCCTTTGTAGCCAACGCCACAGTACGCAATCGATTGATGAGTTCTGCACGGCTGTCTGGGCAACCTTTGCACTCATTGACAGAATTCATTTCCTCTGCTTCCAAAGTCTTTAGAAATCATGTGGTAGACCAAAACAGTTGTTTGTGGGAACAAACACATCGGCTTAAATTTCTTTCACGCAGAGTGATAGTCCCATTTTTTGTTCAGTTTATGATCATGGCGGTGGTGGCCCGGTGGTAACGTCACCAAATTATCACCCCGGGGCACGCGTGTTCGATTCCCACCACCACTGCCTGATTTTCCCCATTTGTGTGTTATATGGCAACCCTGTGATTGACCGCTTCTCCCTTCCTGAAAATTGTATTGTTATGCATTCAATAAATGGAAGTAAACCGAATAAGGGCAAGAAAAAAAGGAATGTAGTCTACATGTTAGAGGGTTATTTCTGGATTGAAAACAAACAGGAGAGAGAAAACATTCATCTTGGTTCGGCACATACCGATCTACTTATGTGACTGGAATCAATCAGTAGTAAATATTCTCTGAGACGGAAAGGCAACGTTCGATGGGCTAATCAAAATCGAGTGCCTTTTCCAGGTGAATTGAGAATTTGTAGCACAATTATTCTAATCAAATGGCACAATCCACATCACTTAAATATGATCCAATTATTGTTTGGCATATTTGAAGTTTGTATGTTGATTGTGAAACGTTCAGTAACCTCTGTGGGATTTGAACCAAC